TGTGTTATATTATATTTCTGGAAAATTTAAGGGGTAGTTATATAATAATTTTGGACGATCTCGGGCGGTCGGATACTATGACCGCTACTGTAAGGATAAAAATGATATTGATAATCATATTTTAAGTCGAGTAGAGAATGAACATCATGCTATAAATTTTTTATATGATTATTTTTCATTTGGTAAGACAGATCTTTCAATAGGCTCTTTTGGTGTAGTTGTAAAATGAATAATTACGAAAAACCTATCAGAGAAACTGTCAATGAATTTAAAATAGAAATTTGTGAAATATTTTTGATCACAAAAAATTAATGGGAATGATTAGGAAGAATAATTTAAAAGTGGCTTTATGATGGAATTTCACAAAAGATTATTCTTATAAAAGGGTTAATAAAATAAAAAAAGTATAGGTTAGCTGTATTTCCAGACATCAATCATTATAATTACTAGAAAATGGAAACTATTGTGAGTTCGAAGCTCAAAATTGCATTTTATTTAATTTTTATTTCATGTTATAACTTTATCGATAGTAGAGTCGGGTTCTGTAAGGCTTGGTAATAATATACATTACATTTACAAATAAGTTATACATGCTGTCTTAGCCGATTTCTTCACAGGATATTTAAGTGACATGCCATATATACTGGCTAAGCAAGCAGCAAAATATTATTACCTTTATAATATACATATTTTTTTTAAAAAACAATATGCAGAAAATCTATATTATCTAATAAAGTAAAAAAAGAAAGAATATATAACGTTTAATAGGGTTCGTCATATAGTTGCTGCCGATACCTCATACTATAGAATCCCATCCCATCCCATATCCCATATTCCAATCCCAAATCCCAAATCCCATTAATTTATAATATATTATTAAGTATATTTTAATCAATATCTCACTTACAGAAATAAAATAATAATCATTTGAATCTGCTCATAAAAGTGAAGCTAATAAACTAAATATCATTAAATTATTATCATTAATTATGATGATATTGTTTTTTAAAGTTTTAATTTAAGGAATGAGATTGGGACTTTATCCCATACCCATATAGTATGGGTAATATAGTTCGTCACAATTTTTATCTTTTAGACATTGTCAATGAAACCAAAATCATCATATGTGAAGGTTTCTAGGAAAATCAGGTTCCGAGAAAATTTTGATTAAAATTTAGAGCTTAATGCATTTAAATCTAATAACATCAAAAAGTAAAATGCAATAAAAATCTCAATTTTGTTAAAAAAATTCCCGGAACCTGATTTTCCTAGCAATCAACCCATATGATCGTATATTAAAATTACGTAACTACTTGATTGATTCAATTTGTTAGAGTTTCTTTAATCTATACCTAATCAACTAATAATTTTCTATTCTTTTATGCGAAATATAATGATTATGAGAAAAGCAATATCTTTAAATTCTTAGAAATAACAGCGAGAAATCCATTGCTAAACAACTTTTCGATCAAATTATTCCTCAATTAATAACTCGAATTGTTTTCACAGGTATTCAAGATAACTAATTATGTAGAAACCAACTTCACTATCTAATAACGTTTTGCCAATATTTCTTTCGCTCCCACAAAATATTAATCATATTGTTTGAGATTCAATAAAAAGGCTCATGATAAGTTTATACAAGAATATATGAATTTATCATTCTTTGATGAATTTAAGAGATAAAAATAAAGTCGGTTATGCTCGAAGAATACAAAATTGGAAAAAAACTGTTTTACTAGTAACTTTAAAAATAATCTACCAAAATCTTTTATCAATGAACAATCGTTAAAAAAGTTAAATTACGGATTTGAAAGGAAGTACGAGAAATTCAAGGTCGTGAAGTTCAATGTATTAGAAGAAAAATATTGAAATCAGTCTTAATTAATCATTTGTAAAAATTAAATCGTATTAACTAACTTCCTTTTTTTAATAAGAAACATTTATGCGATTAAATATAATAAATAAACGGGTGATAATTAAGCTTGTTTATTGTATTTATTTACATAAATCACTTTAGAACTGAGAATGGATTTCGATTCCATCATGAAATTGATGAAATTCTGAATCAACCATATGTTACAATTTGTTTTAACTTCTTAAGAGATGCTTCGACTACAGGAAGATGAGATTCTTGTTCCAAATATATCCATGAAGCGCGTAGTGTGCATCATTACACCTTTTAATATTTATATTTGCCAATTATAATGACATAGACCATCAATTCTACGAATTTCACATTGATACAAGAAAGCTTTCGATGATTCTGACAATAGATCATAGAAACAATAGTACGGGGTTTGGCGTGGAGTGGAAAATAAGCGATTATCTGTGGTATGCTTTATAATTATTGAATTAGAGAATGTTGAGTCAGACATAACTGGGTTCAATTCAGAGGTATTCTTATTGGTCATGAGGAATAATAAAAAAGGCGTAATTCAAACGTCCCGCTGTTAAAGCTTAAATCTTTAAATAAAAGAGGAATCATCGAGGAAAAAGAAAATTTAATGAATAATTTAGAATCAGAGAAAAAATTTATTAATGCAATGATCAATAATAATAACCATAATGATAATCAATGCCTAATGATCCAACTCGAAGGAGGAAAAAAATGATAGTTCTAAAGCGCGAAAAAAATAAAATATTTTATCGCTGCGACTCGACCAAACTAGTAATTAAAATTAAAAAAAATTAAAATTATTGACATAAAAGAAAGATGAAACTAAAAATGAAACTAAGCAAACACATACCGATCAAACCATCCGAAGTGTAATAAAAAAAAAAAATAAAAGTTACAGAAAAAAAATACACACAAGAATTATAAAAAAATATTCCAATATTAGACCGGTCAAATAAATTTTCTTAACCGTCAAAAATCGAAAAAAAATTTTTTAATGAGTGTGAAAAAGAAGCTAGTTAAAAACAGGCCCGAATGAATAGACATATTCAACAAAAGCTCTCAATCTAATTGTTCACCAACCTCAACAATGTTGTATAGAACTTTTGGACAAGGTATTAAAATCACTTGAAATTACTTTTCTTTCTGAGTAGAGCTTAATTCCAATTATCAAATGAGATGAGAGGTTGATATTTAGGAACACATATTAAAATGAAATTTGAAAAAAAGTCACACATTCATTTTCAGATCCTAAAACTAGGTCAGATAATGATCTTTACAACATTGTTTACCTTAATCAGATTAAATAGCTTATCTTCTGAAGGTATATCAAAAATGTTTTTCCATATAAAAGACTTTTGAATCATAAAGCAAAGTGTGGTATTTTGCTTCCTAGATATAGAGATGCTAATGGAATTATTGATACAACGATCGTTAATTCAAACATTGTTTCTGTGAATGATGGATTGATAAAGTAGATATTAAAAGCAGTTTTGCTCATACAAAAAAGTTATATATTTACTGTATGAATTAAAGGGAAGTCGCGATGGATTTTCTCCGAAAATGATTCATCGAGTTATGTAACTATATACTTTGTACAGTTACATTCATTAAAGTAAAAGGGAAGGAGAAACCTTTCGCAGCATAGATCTGATACGGTCGGTATTTTTTCAATTAAATTATTTTTTTATTTCCGAAATTTAATGATGATATTATTAATAATGTTATTATTCTAGCAAATTAAATACATTTTTTTTTTATTTTATTTTATTGTTATTGTTATTTTTTTTTTTAGATTCTTTTTCGAGAGAATTAATATATTTTGAAATTTCATATTCTTTTGGTTGCTCATTTTTTGGTTGTGACTCATTTAATGGCTCATTTTGTGACGCGTATTCACTTAAATATTTTAAATTAAAATATTATGCTAATGATTTACTTGCCTTTAGGTAGATAATGGGGCAATTATTATCATCAAGACGAAGTTTAGGGTAAACGTTTATTTTGTGAATTTTATTCGTATATATAATAAAAGATGAGAGTTAACGTACATTACATATACAAGTAAATGAATCTAAGATCATGAATAACCATTGAAATTATTTATAGGTGTTTTATTTCTAAAATGACAATCAACTCAAATATAATATTAATATACTTCTAGAGATTTTTTTTGATAAATTTAACGAACTAACGCATAAAAAAAAAAAAAATAAATAAATGGGAGGTTTAATAGCAAACCTTCCAAATATGTACGCCTAGTATGAACAAAAATCATAGACATGGCGCAGTAAGCAGGTCAGGTGTTCACTGGTTATGTAAATGTCACAAAATTCATAAAAATAATTTTCTCACAATGTCAATGAGCAAACCCGAAAAAAAAATATTGAAATTTAGTCTAGTTAAGATAAGGTTACTTGTATTTGATAGTAATGAAAGTATAGAAGAAGAGAGTGCAGGCGGAATCAAGAGAAATTATAGTTTTTAGTGACGTTTCACTTGAATGATGATTCGTGGTGATTTACATTACAGTATGTCCATTTTAATTTGGGTAATTTTTATTGCTTACGTTTTTAATTGGAAATTGGAGCAACCATCTTTTTGTTCTTTTCGCAGTCGCACACGAAACCTAGATTTGGGTGATTGTGAAAATCTATAGGAGAATACTATTTTCTACACACAAACACAATTGAAACAAACACAATTGAATTGCGATTTAGATCAGCAGTCTGCGTAATAAACAAATTCCAAACACAGCACAAAACCAAGCATAACTCATGATAACTTTACCAAATATTAACCAAATTTTGAGATTTCTTTTGTAACTGTATCGCTCAATTGCCAATCAATATACAACATAACAGAATAATGGTCCTCAACCAAATAACTATCCTTGCGAGCCTATTCTATAAAGGCATTTCAGAAGGTGTCCAAATTATTACAACATAGATTTATAGTTGTTACAGCAACGTGTTTCGGTTTTTTTTTTGGTGTACATTGCTTCATGCGTTGCTGTTACACACTAATATATTATCAGTATTTTCATTTTCATTTTTTTTTTTTTTTACATAAGGACATACGAAATTATTTCTCATTACGCTAATGAAAAATTTTTTTTTTACATTCTTCGTGATAAGGACACCGAAATTATTTCTCATTACGATAATGAAATAATTTCTTTTTTAATTATCAATATTCATATTTTAGAAAATTCTTTGTTTGCTGCTGCTACTAATTTGAGTAATATTTACATCAACAAATGCATGATTTTTAGCCGCCAAAAATCAACAAAGAACATCTCTGCATCGGATTTTCTTCGGCAGATTCTGTGTCACCTCATGATGTAGGAATGCAGAATTAATTTTGAGCGAAAAAATTTATCCGCATCATTTTATTTTATTTTTTTTTTTTTTTGATATAAAGATCTAATTTGCACTTTCAACTTTAAATATTTAAGATACAAACAGAAAAAGAAATCAAATTTACATAATTTCATTTTCAAAAAACGAAGTATGCCCCTTCATAAATTATTAGAAAATTTTGCGTTTCAAGATTTAATATCGTTGTCATTTATCATATTACCGATATACGTGGCGCATTTTTATTATTCGTATTTCACTCGCGTTAATCCTTTACCTGGTCCATTCCCATTCCCATTATTTGGAAATATACCTCAATTCCTACTCATTTATGGCGGAAATTTAAAAGAATTTTCGGATAGTAATCAAAAAACTTATGGTGACATTTACGAAGTTCACTTGGGAGTTCGACGCATAATCCTCAGCCGTACAGAATACGTTGAGAAGCTATTGATGCCTTCAACGAAGAGCCAATACATGATGAGATTTCCTTACAACGAAGGATTAGCAGAATTAGGAGTGATTGGGAAAGGGTTACTGGCGAATCATGATTTGAAATCATGGAGGTATAATCGTCAATTTTTTACACAAGCAATTTTGGCACCAAAATTCACTCAAGAAGCTATTGATTGGACGAATGAACTTTTCAATGAATTGGAAAGTTATTGGAACAAGTTATATCTAAAAGATGAAATTGTTAAAGAAAATAAGAATAAATTGGATTTCTCTGCATGGTTAAACAGATACACAAATGATATAATTATCGCATTAACAACTGGCGAAAGATCTTATACAATGGCAGCATACTTTAATACTCAAAGTGACGAAAAAGCCACGCATCCAAAAGCGATAGTCGATGATTCCGAGAACTTTGTTCGAGCATTTCGTAAACACATAGTAGGAGCGCCGATGTTCATTTTTATCCCATCTTTCATCAGACATTACTTTCCATTTATCAAGAGTAAATCGGACGATTTGCTTAAAAATATTGGATTTATCAATCAAAGGTTAGAAAAAGTTATTAAGAGGCGCAGACAAGAAATTGAAAATACTTCGCAGGATAAACCTTTATCAAATGATATGCTGACCTCGTTGATCACGGCAAGTACACCTCGCGACATTAATTATATCAAAACTGTCGAAGGAGAAGCTATGAACAGACCTATGACCGATCTTGAAATTCGTGGTATTTTATTTGACGCATTTCTTGGTGGAACTGATACAGTAAGTATAAGAATATTTCCAAATATTTTGTTACGATTAACAAATCTGTATTAACATTTTATTCATTTATTTTCAAATATAGACCGCGAATATGATTACATTTATTATCTATCATATCGCTCATAATTTAGAAGTAAAGAAAAAGATGCTAGAAGAAATTGATGGAATATTCCAGGGTGATAAAACGCGTCCAATAACGGTAGACGACTTACACAAACTTAAATATTGTGAAGCGATCATAAAAGAAGTAGATCGCGTTCTACCGGTTGCAAATTTGATGGTGAGATGTAGTCAAGAACCTGATGAAATAGCGGGTTATAAATGGCCTGCTGGTACAACGTTTCATGTGAACGCCGTTTCGATTCATAAACATAAAGATTATTGGGAAGAGCCTGAAAAATTTAATCCTGATAGGTGGATGATTAAAAGGTTCGAACCTGAGAAATATTCTTTCATCATGTTTGGTGGCGGGTTAAGGATCTGTCCGGGAAGAAAGTTGGCCATGATCGAATTAATTTTTTTGATGGCTTCGTTATATAGAAAGTATGAAATTGATTTGGTGGATATGAAATCTCCTTTAAAAACTGTATCATCCATTATAACCTCTTGTCCCGAATTGTTCGTCAAGGTTAGACCAAGAAATTAAGAAAATAAATATGCAAACCAACCATTGCTTTGATTTACTCCACCTTTAAAATAATCTTTTATCTCATTTTATTTTTTATCAACAAATTATTAATTAAATCAATTTATTTTAAATTTTTTTTATAAATAAAATAATATAAAATACTTATATTCTATATATTTTCGGAAGACGAATGAAAGCAGATACTTTGCTCGCGTCCCAAAAGCCTTAAAATTGACATGACAGATGTAATGTTTTGTCTGATTACATAAAAGTAAATTAAAAATCGTTTTTTAACTTTTTCATATT